TTTTTTAGATTTCTTAGTTATTAAAATATGAATCTAAATTTCATTCCTAAACACGCATTCAAGGAAAACATTTTACTTTTATTATTAATTAAAAGTTTTGTTGTCAGCCATTAAAAATTTGTGTGTGAAGAAATTTCATGCAGAAATTATATTCTAAGAAATTTTATGGTGTACATGAAGTTGTTGCTAAATTTACATAATTTACAACATGAAAATAAAGTAAACGACCTTCACGTTTACCTTAACAACAGCTCAAGCTTCTTACATTTCATCATTAAAAATAACAAAAAATAAACCGAAAGCTTAATGATGTGACGATGCAGTCGTGAAATGATGGAACGTAGCTAAAGGTCTTCCAACGCAAATTGAAGAATTCAGTCATCAGATCCATTACACAAAGTTCACTCAAAAATGAGAATTCTTCAGTGTTCTAGTCTGATCAATTTGATTCAAATTACCAACTCTCATTTAAATAGAACGATGAAGCAAAGTTGTCTGAGAAAAACCTTGAAAATATTTTATCGACGATTTTTCACTTGCCATGTGTGCCGAAACTCACGCTTCATTATTTTTTTTCATCTATCACAACAGTATTAGAATGAATTGTTGTTGATTTACAACAGCAACGCAATAGAGGAGACACGACATGATATAAATAGCTGATTTAGTTTCAAGATATTCTCGCGAGAGAATTTTACATTTGGTAAAAAAAGTTAGTTAAAATGTATTAATGAACATATTTTTTATACAAAACAATGAAGATTGATCACAAAAGCATGTGTAGCGAAGTGTAAAGGAATACTTTGACAACTGATTGAATTACTTTAAAAGCACACAGATAAATCTGTTACACCAACTCGCTCCCTTCATGTCCGCAAATGTATCGTTTTCGCGGTTTTAACTCAAACAACTAAATTTTTATCATAGACAATTGACAGAGAAGTTGAATAATTTTGTTTTGTCAGTGTGGAACTAATGCTTCAGTCGATACAATCATTCTGACAGTGCAAAAAGCATCGCATGTGATTTAAGTTAGATTTTATTAAGCCTTGAATTCCAAATTGAAATGACATCTTAATTATACTAAATTATGATTTGATATCTGTAAAAGCAAAGTACAAAAATTCTCTTGTCATTTAAATGTAAATAAATGCGAGTTCCGCGTGTACATGTTATGGTTTTGAAATATTATTTACACTGTGATTTCATTACATACAATAATGTTTGTTTCATTTTAATTATTGGAAGTATTTTGTTTGTACATCATTAATGTTTATTATAATATATCGGATGGATTTTGCTGAAATTCCTAAAATAGCTTCTAATCTACATAGTTGAATGATAATTACACGTGCATTATTTTTCATTCAATGTGGATTTAATTATTAAGCTATCCAAGTATCCGCGATCATTTAAAAATGAAAGCCAAAGCTTGAGAGATTTTTTATAGTTGTCATTTCTGTAGATTCGTTCGAACATTCCTTCGTCACTTCCACCTGTCATGATACTTTCAATGCTTATTTCTTCATTTGAATCATATTTCACGACAAACAAAATGAACATAATGCAAGCACAAGCTGTTGATAATAAAATTTTATTATGTTAAATTTAATTATGAAATTTTCAAGTTTACCAAAAAATCCTTTTGCCTCCATGTCGTCATTTAATTCCTTCAATGTTGGGATTGATTTATTAAATCGAAGCTTATTCAAAGACGATGTCAACTCGTCATGGTAGAATTTTATAAGGTTGTCAAAATGTGCAATTTTGATGTCATCTTCAACTGACGAAATCAAGAAGTAAAGCAAATCACCTGCAGGGCTTCCCCAAAACGGGCCTTGATAATCAATCATGAGAACATCAGTAGCAGAATTAGTTTCTTTATTCAATTTGAACATCATGTTGTTCAACCAGATATCGCCGTGATTTAACACTTTAAAATCAGACGATTCCATCGGCTCAGCGATATCAATAAAATTTGAGAAAAGCTTTGTCAAGTCCCACTGTGCAATTTTTTCAGCATAAATATCGCAATCTCCGTAAGACATAACAGCGTCACGAAATGCGTAATAAAGCTTCCTAAAGCCAACAACAAGTGGACTATCTTCTGGAAATGGTGGCATTGACAGTTTGCGATCAAAATAATTTTGTATAATTCCATCCTATAAAAGGCAAGAAGTTTAGATAAGAAATTTATCAGACAATTTAGATAATTAGAAAATCACCTTCTGATAACGAATTGCACTTGCAGCATGAAATTTGGCGAGCTTCGTCAGCAACATTTTCGTCTGTTCCATGTTGAGGCCAACTTTTCTGTTCAACATTTCATAACCAGCAGCTTTCAAGTCATCCAACACGATGATCTCATAAGGATCAGTTTCGTATTTGACATCTCGAGGTCCAAACTGAATTTCTTCGCCAGCCCTTTCAAGCCAAATATCTTCGAAACTTTTCAAAACATTCTCATAGATGAATCGTTCTCGAGGGAAGACGCTAAATTCCTTCATTTCCTTCATCGTTGTCAACAAAGCTTTGATGATCACATCAACAGATTTTTTTTCTTTACTTTCCAACACTTCAACTTTGATTTTAGCACGAAGAAGAACAGAAACAAAATTCTCATTCTTTCCAGTTGCTGGTGACAACATAACCAATCGTAATTTTAATTCATCTTTACACACATTTAATTTTTTTGCAGCGATATCAATGAAAAAATCATTTGAAATTGCTTCACTGTTTAAAAACGCTTCCAATTGGTCATCACGTGTTGCCATTTTATGTTATTTAGTATAAAAAAGCTTCTTCACCGTAGCGATCCAAAACATCAACTGAGAGAGTAAAACGGAAAATTGAAATTTTTATATACATTTTATTCACTAATTCACTACACACAAACACACAGAAGATTTTCCAATATGATTGAACGAGTGTGAAGCGAAGATAAAAGTTATACGCGAATATTGCTACATGCCAACTTGTCCTATCACATATGATTTCTTTCAAGCTTAGTAAATATCCATAAAGAAAAGACAACAAACCCCAATGCTGATTTGCAAATTTTTATATTTTTCTTATTATAGGAAATGTGCTTTAAATATTTATTTAATTACTCCCATATCTGTATTAGTTCCATTCTAAATATCCACGTTCGTTTAAGAACGGCAGCCAACGCTTCAAAGCTTTTATATAATTTTTGTCTTTGTAAATTCTCACGACAGTTTCTTCATCGCCACCGTTTAAGATTTCTTCCATGTTTATGACTTCATTTGAATCGTTTTTGACAATGCAGACGATAAACACGGTGCATAAACAAGCTGGGAATCGAAAAAGGTGAAATAATTAAAATATTTTTAAAAATAAATTGTGCAAAAGAGTTTTACCAAAGATTTTCTTTTCCAGCAAATCGTCTTTCAGTTCTTTTAATGTCGGAATGTGTTCATCATATTTGAGAGCCTTCAAAGAAGCTGTCAACTGTTCATGATAAAAATCAACAAATTCATCGAAATGATCGACTTTGATGTCATCTTCAACAGAAGTAAGTAGAAAGTAAATTAAGTCAGCTGATGGACTTCCCCAAAACGATATTTGGTAGTCAATCAACCGAACGTCAACGGCAGAATTTGTCTCATTATCCAACTTGAACATCATGTTGTTCAGCCAAGTGTCGCCATGATTCAATATTTGAAATCCACATTGCATCGGTTCAGCAATGTCAGAGAAAGCCAGAAAGAGCTTCTCACTGTCCCAATTCGATATTTTGTTTGCATAAACTTCACAACCATCAAATGATTTTACGCCATCTCGAAATTCGTAATAAATGTTCTTAAAACTGTTTTGAATTGGACTTCCTTCAGCCATCATTGGCTTCATTGCAACTTTTCTGTCAAAATATTCCTTAATCATTCCATCCTGTAAAAGGCAAGAAGTTCAGATAAGAAATTTATCAGATAGTTTAGATAATTAGAAAATCACCTTCTGATAACGAATTGCGCTTGCAGCATGAAATTTGGCGAGCTTCGTCAGCAACATTTTCGTCTGTTCCATGTTGAGGCCAACTTTTCTGTTCAACATTTCATAACCAGCAGCCTTCAAGTCATCCAACACGATGATCTCGTAAGGATCAGTTTCGTATTTGACATCTCGAGGTCCAAACTGAATTTCTTCGCCAGTCCTTTCAAGCCAAATGTCTTCGAAACTTCTCAAAACATTCTCATAAACGAATCGTTCTCGAGGAAAGACGCTGAACTCTTTCATTTCCTTCATTGTCACTAACAGAACTTTTACTATAACCTGAACAGATCTTTTCTCTTTCGTCTCAATAATTTCGATTTTTATATTTGCACGATAAAGAACTGAAATAAAATTTTCATTTTTCCCAGTTGCTGGTGATAACAACACAAGCCTCAACTTGATCTGATCCTTTGATAGATTCAATTTTTTTGCAGCAATGTCAATGAAGAAATCATTGTCCATCACATCACAATTGAGAAAAAGTTCTATTTGTTCGTCACGCTTTGCCAATGCCATTATTGTTATTTATTTGTTAACTTCCACCTTTAAGAACATCCAAATTTTAACTGAGAACACGAATGAGAATTCTCTTAAATTTATACATTTTGCAAATAAACTAACAACACAACTCAAGTCAATCAGGTTTTCAATTGAGAATAATAAGCACAAACAAACACACGATAAATTGAAACGATTAATAACAGATGATTTTACATAAAACTTAAGATACGTCATCCATTTTAATTGAAGTTTTCTGTGTAATTATATTAAAAATATAACTTTGCGATAGGAATAATTCAATTGAAATTTATTGACAATTTTTGTCTGAGTAACACATTTCTAATAGTTCAAAAATTATTATTATTAATTTATATCTATAAATCCACGTTTGTTCAAGAAAGAAATCCAAAGCTTCAAAGCTTTTTGGAAGTTCTCATCATTGTAAATTCGTTTTAAGGTTTCACTTTCAGCGGATCCCATGAACACTTCTATTCCAATTTCTTCATTTTTTTCGAGTTTTATGATAGGCAGAACTGATACGAGACAATAGCAAGCTAAACATTGTTTAAAAGAAACAAAATTAATTTTATGAAAGATAAAATCGATTTAAATATTCACCAAAACGCTTATTTTCAAGCATGTCAATATGCAAATCAGTTAAAGTTGGAATTGATTGTTGATACTTCAACTTCCTCAATGCAGTTGTTAAATTTTCGTGATAGTAGCAAACAAAGTCATCGAAATAATCAGTTTTAATGTCGTCTGCTACTGAGTTCAGTAAAAAGTAAAGAAGATCGAAACTTGGACTACCTAAGGAAGGAGTTTGGTAATCAATAAAACTGACATCAAGAACTTCGCGTTCTTCATTAAATTTGAACATTGCGTTATTTATCCACAAGTCTGCATGGTTAAGAACACGAAATCCGTTTTGCATTGGTGCAGTTATGTCACCACAAGAAGTAAATAAGTTCTTTTTAGGTCGACTGAACTTCTGAATAATTTCTTTACTATAGTTGAACGCTGTTAGGGAATCGACGAAAGCTTCAAGCATTTGCGCTGCTCCCTGCAAAAATGGATTATCGTCGGTCATCATATAAAACGATTTATCTGCTGAGCTGTCATCAAAATATGATCTCATGGCACCTCCCTACATTAATAAATGTTTCATTATGATGATGTTGATCAAATAATGTCAAATGCTTACCTCTTGATAACAAACAGCGCCTGCAGCATGAAATTTGGCGAGCTTCATTAAAACAATTTTTGCCTCTTCCATGTTGAGGCCAACTTTTCTGTTCAACATTTCATAACCAGCAGCCTTCAAGTCATCCAACACGATGATCTCATAAGGATCAGTTTCGTATTTGACATCACGTGGTCCAAATTGAATTTCTTCGTCAGCCCTTTCAAGCCAAATGTCTTCGAAACTTTTCAAAACATTCTCATAAACGAATCGTTCTCGAGGGAAGACGCTGAACTCTTTCATCTCTTTGATTGTTGTCAACAAAGCTTTAATGATCACGTCGACGACTTTTTTCTCTTTCGTCTTAATCATTTCAATCTTGATCTTTGCGCGATACAAAACTGAGACATAATTTTCATTTTGACCTGAGGCCGATGATAATATTACTAATTGTAATCGAAACTCATCGCGAGAAATTTTCAATTTATTTTCAACAATTTCAATGAAGAAATCATCACAAATTGTGTCACTGTCGAGGAAAGCTTCCGATTGTTCTTCACTTGTTGCCATTGCTTTTTAATACATGCACCTTGAAGACCTGCAAGATTTCAACTGACAATGAAATAAAATTTCAGCAACAAGAATTTTCGTTGTAGTTATCACCTTGGACTTGTATTTGTCAGCGTCTTATCAGTCGTTTAAATGATTAGCATTTTATGCATGATAAGCGCACTGGTACACGTTTTGTTTTAGACTTTTAGATAAAAGTGAAATATGATTTTCGAGGTCATATTTGTTAGTGTTTATTAATTGAATGTAGTTTGCATATTTGTATCATTCATTAGCTGAAGTTTGTGTCTGGTTTAAGTTGTGGTTGAGTAAATTGTTGGAATCATAAAAGTGCCGAAAATAAAAGAGAGATTTATGAAAGCATAATCAGAAGTTTCGTTGTGTGAGCTTCTTCATTGACACCGTAAAAAATTGACTGAAAATTGAGTTTTCAATTCATTTGCAACCAAATTTAATTAAAAATCAGATATGTATTTGGATTTTTGCTCAACTTTTTTAATTTCTTTTCAAACAAATTTTTGCAATCTGAAGTGAAGTGAAATCTTTGATAAAAAGAACTTTTCCATGAGGTCAACAACCTTCTAAGAGTGGAATTCTCTGATCGATTGCAAGTTTATTATTAAGATTTATTCACGTCTATCAGAAGATTTTTAATTTCTAAATTTCTACATTTTAGAACTTAAACAAAATTTTGGTCAATTTATTCTTCAACTTTAACTTCGTCTTCCATCAATGTATCGAGGAATCCACGTTTATTTAGAAATGGGAACCACAACTTGAGGCTGTTTGTATAGCCTGAATTGCTGAATATTCGCTCCAACATTTCAGTGTTGTCTTCAGTTGACATGAAAGTTTCCACATTGATTTCTTCTTGAGAATCATATTTTACAGCGATTAATACTCCGCAAGTGCAGCTGCAAGCTATTAAATATGTTTTTATTAATCGACAAAAGTAATTTACTAGAAATCTTTTCAATTTCTTACCAAAAAATCCTTTCTCGAGAAGATCAATGTGAAGTTCTGTTAATGTTGGAATATGTTGATCGTATTTAAGAGCCTTCAAAGAAGCTGTCAACTGTTCATGATAAAAATCAACAAATTCATCAAAATGATCGACTTTGATGTCATCTTCAACTGATGAAAGTAAGAAATATATTAAGTCAGCTGATGGACTTCCCCAGAATGGCATTTGGTAGTCAATCATGAGAACATCAGTAGCAGAATTTGTTTCCTTGTCAATTTTGAACATCATGTTGTTCAACCAAATGTCTCCGTGATTCATAACTTTAAATCCACAACGCATCGGTGATGCTACATCAATAAAAGTAGTCAACAACTTTTTTCGATTCCATCGAGATATTTTATCGGCAACATCTTCGAAACCGCCATAATTTCTAACAGAATGCTCAAATATATCATACAATCTATACAAACTATTTATGAATGGGCTGTCTTCAGGAATTGGAGGCATTTTTGATCGATCAAAGTAATCTTGAATTGTTCCATCCTAAACAAAACAAAATATGTTATCAGAATTAAAAGAAAACTTCAACAATTATCACCTTCTGATAACGAATTGCACTTGCAGCATGAAATTTGGCGAGCTTCGTCAGCAACATTTTCGTCTGTTCCATGTTGAGGCCAACTTTTCTGTTCAACATTTCATAACCAGCAGCTTTCAAGTCATCCAACACGATGATCTCATAAGGATCAGTTTCGTATTTGACATCTCGAGGTCCAAACTGAATTTCTTCGCCAACCCTTTCAAGCCAAATGTCTTCGAAACTTCTCAAAACATTCTCATAAACGAAACGTTCTCGAGGGAAGACGCTGAACTCTTTCATCTCCTTGATTGTTGTCAACAAAGCTTTAATGATCACATCGACGACTTTTTTCTCTTTCGTCTCATTCATCTCAATCTTGATTTTTGCGCGATAGAGAACTGAAACATAATTCTCATTCTTCCCAGTTGCTGGGGATAACAAAACTAATCGCAACTTAAACTCATCTCTCGAAATTTTTAATTTTCTCTCCACAATATCAATGAAGAAATTGTCATCAATTGCGTCACTATTTAAAAACGCTTCAGACTGTTCATCGCGGCTCGACATAATTTAATAAATCTTCCTTTTTCTTTGAAGTACAAACGTAAACTGAGAGTGATTAATTACAAATTTGATATTTATTTCCTTCTCTTTTTTATGAGCTTAACCACGTGGCAAGTGCTTCGTTATCAAAAAATCGTTGATAAGATAAAGTTTGGTCTACCTCTTATAACTTGTTCTTCTCATACAAACAATTTCACAATAGTATGAAGTAAATTACACGCGACATTGGCTTTTGTACGATAAATCTTATCTCTGCGTGCGCCATGTATCAAACGAAGTTCAATAACAAGCTTAAGAAGCAAGGCATGTATTATGGTCACATTTTGTCACTGTGCAAATAGAGTAACAAATCAGAAAATGTGATATTGTAATTGTCAAATTGATGACGATTCTTGAGGCTCTTTATGTAATTATCAGTGATAATGTTATGATGAAATCAACAACATTGACCATATTTAGCCCCATCCATTTATGGACGTTTTCAACCTTTTTAAGACAGCTATTTGATGATAACAGAATTTTCCTAGTATGGGCAAAACATTTGTGACGCAACTCACTTGTGATAAGAATTCCCTTCGATCTTATAAGTAAATTCCCTTTTTGATTTAAATAATTATAATTATATGGTCGTTTGTATCGTGTGAGAATTTAATGAAGTTGAGTGAAGGTCAAAACACCTGCGTGATTGTGTTAAAAGCGATTCAAGTAAACAATCTGAATTCTCAAGTAATTTAATAATAAAGAAATCCACAAGTTGTAGGAAAATATTCTTTATTTAATTTCTTTTGTGCGCAATCTGAGAAATTAAAGTAAATATTGTGATAAGCTTTATCATTCAAGTGATACATTTGGAAACATTGTGACTGGAAAATTGCAAATATTTGAGAAACACAATCGAAAGGTGGAAATTATTTCTTAAAGTTCTTAAATTTTTATGGGAAGAACGATCAAATATTTTTATTAAAAACAATGTGAAGTTTTTTTTGATTCTTATAAGATATAAAAAATACTTAAAACATTTTATTCAACATCTAATAACGTGTCAAGATATCCACGTTTATTCAAGAAAGGAATCCAACATTTCAATGCCTTTTTGAAGTTGTCATTATTGTAAATTCTTGCTAGTTTCTCAGCAGCACCATCATCGCCAGAAAAGAACATTTCCATGTTGATTTCTTCATCTGAGTCGAATTTCACAACAAACAAAATTCCAGTAATGCACGAACAAGCTTTAAGAAAAAATAACAAATAAAATTTTCAGTTAAAGAATTGAAATTTGTTTGTAAACTTAAAAATTACCAAAAAATCCTTTCTCGAGAAGATCAATGTGAAGTTCTGTTAATGTTGGAATATGTTGATCGTATTTAAGAGCCTTCAAAGAAGCTGTCAACTGTTCATGATAAAAATCAATAAATTCATCGAAATGATCAACTTTGATGTCATCTTCAACTGATGAAAGTAGGAAGTAAAGTAAATCAGCTGTTGGACTTCCCCAGAATGACATTTGGTAGTCAATCAACCGAACGTCGACGGCAGAATTTGTTTGCTTGTCAAATTTGAACATCATGTTGTTCAGCCAAGTGTCGCCATGATTCAATATTTGAAATCCACAACGCATCGGCTTTGCTATGTCTACAAATGCAGTTAGAAGTTTCTTCATATTCCAACGAGATATTTTATCAGCGATGTCGTCGTGACCGCCATAATTTCTAATAGAATCTTCGAAGGTTTTACTCATTTTCTCAAAGCCCTCGGCCATGGGACCATCGGTTGGAAATAAGGGCATTGTCGAACGATCAAAATGATGTTGAATTATTCCATCCTAAGTGTAAATACACAAAACAAAATTTTATTTTTATCTGATTAAAATTTTGTTATCGTCATTTGTTTTACCTTCTGATAACGAATTGCACTTGCAGCATGAAATTTGGCGAGCTTCGTCAGCAACATTTTCGTCTGTTCCATGTTGAGGCCAACTTTTCTGTTCAACATTTCATAACCAGCAGCTTTCAAGTCGTCCAACACGATGATCTCATAAGGATCAGTTTCGTATTTGACATCACGTGGTCCAAACTGAATTTCTTCGCCAGCCCTTTCAAGCCAAATGTCTTCGAAACTTCTCAAAACATTCTCATAAACGAAACGTTCTCGAGGGAAGACGCTGAACTCTTTCATCTCTTTGATTGTTGTCAACAAAGCTTTGACAATCACATCGACGACTTTTTTTCTCTTTCGTCTTATTCATCTCAATATTAATCTTTGCGCGATAGAGAACTGAAACATAATTCTCATTCTTCCCAGTTGCTGGTGATAACAAAACTAATCGCAATTTAAACTCATCTCTCGAAATTTTTAATTTTCTCTCCACAATATCAATGAAGAAATTATCATCAATTGCGTCACTATTTAAAAACGATTCAGATTGTTGATCGCGACTCGACATTTTAACTGCAGTTAAAAACTTTTTTCCTGTTCAAGCTCCAAACGTAAACTGAGAGCGAATTTTACGAGAATAAATTTATATATCAACTTGACATTGATCAAAGCGAACTATCTACACTCACACATGAAACTTTAGATTTGAGTTTGACTTCATCCATACAAATAAATAAGTATTATGAGTTAAACTTCATTTCAAAACAAAAAATCAGAATGATTAACTCAAATACTGGCACGCGATCAATTTTATTTGTCTGGCTGATAATTTTTCTTCAAACTTTTATTTTTTAACCACCACATAACAAAGAAGAATTTTAAAAGCTTATAAAGTACACAAAGTGTATTTATTTTCTTCTTAGAAGCTTCTGAATGAAAGCTCATCCATCCCTAGGATTGACTTGTCCTATGAAAACATGAGATTTGCAGTTATTATCATAACACGGCTTTCATTTATCCTCTTCAAATAATAAACAAAGATTTGACGTGAGAATTTGCGAAGCATAGAAAATTATTTTAAAGGTAGAAAATTTTGTAGAGTAAAGTTCACCTTTTGTTAGATTATTTGAAGCTATCTCAGCTGCTTCAGCATTTTTATTATTTTCTTAATCTTTTATTATGAATAATGAAAAAGAGAAGAATTTCAGGAATTAAAGCAATTTAATTAACTTATATTTGTTAATTTTACACAAAAATAAATAACTTGGAAGCTGCTTGAAATAGAATGAAGAAAAGCATAACAAACTGCCATCCTAAATCCATTCTAATTATTGTTTCTACATAAGTAATCTGATTGTATTCAACATGACACTGCTAATCAATTATTAACAAACTTCTTAATTATGTAATGAAATGTTTATGATAAAAATCAAGCCTTTCGGGTATAAAACATCCAAACAGTCAATGTGAAGCTTCAAAAGTTTTCTGAATCAACATGACGACGGTGTTCAAAGAAGTAAAAACAGCGATTGTTGAGACCTTTCAAGAGATCTCCGTACATGGATTTATATTTCTTGTGAAACGTGGAACAAACATTTTAGAGAGATTAGTTTGGCTTGCTTGTATAAGCGTGGGTGTTTATGCAATCATAAGTTTGGGTCTTGACACTTGGAATCGTTATCAAACTTCACCAACCGTCATAACAATGGACAGAAACAAATTTTCATGGAACACAAGCTTTCCAAGCTGTAAGTTTTCACGTCAAGCTTCTCTCACCTTTTCTCTGATACATTTAATTAATTTTGACAGTGACTGTGTGCTCAGAGAAACGAATTGACGACGATAAAGTTGAAGCATATCTGAATAGCAACATAAAGATGTTTCCTAATGAAACCATCAAAGCGAATGCTCGAGAATTTATCAAGCGACTCTCCACAATTTCTTATGAAACTATGTCAGATTTTCCGCTTGACATCGATCCTGGCTTCGATCCAGATGACTACCTCAAACTTCTGAATGAATTCAAGTGGAGGTTTGTACCTGAAATCTCTAGTGGAACATCAAATAAACTGCTTTTGGCAGAGACAGTGACGGAAAATGGAATTTGTGACGCTGTAAATTCAAACATCGCTTTTTATAATTCTTTTGAATACTGGAAAAGCAACCGTTGGGATATCGTCAAATCAAACGTCACTGTCGTTGTTCATCCATTTGACGGTGAAATTTATGCTCAATTAACGAATATATCAACAGCATATGAGGTCTTTTACCATGGCTCTATGGAAGTTCCTGATATTTCGAAGCAGAAGCATAAATTTCCTGAAACTGATTACACAACTGTCGAGTTTTTGGCTTTGGAAATTTTGACATCAGAAGATGCTAAAAGGTTTGCAATCGCCAAGGAATTGAATTTGACATCTTATTTCTTTTAATTCTTTATACATTTGCTTTGCGCATTTATCATTTCATTCTGGTGGAAAGTTTGAAACCATCGCAGAGAAAATGTAACTTGGAAAATGAAGCTGATGAACTCTTGACCAGTTCTGTTTATAGCTTTAATTTATGTCGAAGTCAATGTCGATTCAGAATGGCGTTAAAGGAATGTAATTGCATTCCTTTCTTCTACAGAAATATTGGTAGATATTTGGATTGTAGAAAGAATTAAAAGCTGATAGTTTGATTTCATTTATGTTAAGATAAAAATGGAAAGAAATATCCGATTTGTGGACCGAAGGGCATGAGATGTTTGGGAAATATCAAAGGTAAAAGTTTCTTTATCAAATTATCTCATATCAAAATGACAAAATCATGCTTGGTCGTTAGATGAAATCGTTGCTTTGCAGTCAAGAAAACGTAAAATTGATTGCAATTGTATGCCGAATTGTGACAACACAAACTTCTCCATTCAATCGATTGTAAGTTCAAATGAAATCGGATTGTAATTAATTACACTTCATTAAGCTTAAGCACTTCTGTCTTATCAAAGCGATCTCGGATTTGGTTTTTGGGAGCTAACTTCCAGTGGGGGATTATTGATTATCCAAAGCTTCAATTGAAGCGTGAACTTTTATTTGGAATTTCAGACGTCCTTGGTGAGTGGGTTTGAGTACGACGAATCATGAATGTTTGATCATGTTATTTATTGCATTGATTTATTTCACTTTCTAGTTTATGTTGGTGGTCTTGGTGGATTGTTTCTCGGTGATAATTTAACTTCCTGATAAATTTGACTCATTTATTAATGTTTTGTTTCGCATTTCAAGGAATGTCTTTGCTTGGATTCGCTGAAATCATTTTTTTCTTCACATGGGGACTGCTCAAAAAGATTTTCCAAAGTTTAAGGAAGTCAACAATAATTGACATAAAAGCTTAAAATATTTCTTTTGAGTTTGCATAGCATACCAAATATTATCACAGAAGATTTTAAATCTAATTTAATGTCATCACAGGAAAAGTTGTCGTCTCAAGTTTCAGTGTCGAGTGTCACCTAATGAATAGTTGAACATTTGCATAAAAATCCTTAGATGTTGTTTCATTCTGTATTCCATTTATTATTCATATTAAAGGTAAAAAATATGGTGGCGTTGCAGAATCATCAGAAGTTGATCATGCGATGAAAAAGCTGATGAAGTTTGTAGTTTGTATTTGAAATGATTTCTCAAAGTTAAAATAAAATAAACTCACAGAAGCTTTTATGGCTTCATTACTCACATTTTATTTATTCACAGTTGATATGTGCAATGATCTGAGTTTTGTAATTCAATCAACACGAGTGAAAAAGATTTTAAGTTGATATTAAAGTGCATTCAAGTTGAAATTTATTGTAATTAATTAACATCTTTAATTTCTAATGCGATTCGAATTCGTTTCAAGTTTCTTTCTAATGACATTGTAAATATAATTTTCAATTATTAAAATTGGTTGTTCTAACGTCAAATAAAGAAATGTTGCGAGGAAAAGCGTGACGATGAAATCCCCAGCAGAATTTTGAAGCTAGAAGAACAGAAAAGTTTTCAAGCATTATCACAAATAATTTTCAGTATTTCATTGCCTTACCACGTTTGTTGTACTGAAATATTGTGGAACTTTTCCTGACCCAATGGAAATTATTTGATAAATGCTATGCACTAAGTAGAAACTCAATGACATTCTTCCCAGAGGTTGCCACAATGGATGTTCCAAAAACCATTTTATGACTCCCCCAGATCCATTCTGACATGCAAAAATTATCCAAGCAATGGAATATCCCCAATTGTTACGAGTAAAAGCAATCCAAAGTGAATTTGCAAACTGGTTAGCAGGGTATTTAGCATTTTGCAATGGCAGCATACCAACTAGAATTGCAGTCATTGTTCCAATTGAAAGAAGCCACATTGCTATATTTAAATACTGATTCGATTGGAAAATTGAATCTCCATCCACTCAAATTTGATTCAATTAACTGACCTTGTTGATTATAACTTTTTTATGTTTTGTTGAGTAGAAAATGTAGCCCATCATGACTCCAATAAGCCACGGTCCCATTCGAATATGTGTGGGAAAATAAAAGTCAACACCAAATGTCTGTCCAACCTCCGGTGGCCTTCATTCAATGATTTATTTTTAATTAACTTCTAGATCAGACGAGACTGATAAATAAATAAACTCACATCAAAAGTCGCGCTGCTTTGTATTTGTTTTTAAATGAGACAACAAAAGCCCAAACTTCAATCGCTACAACGTAGGTTGGAAGCAACCAAAGAAATTTCCACCCCCATTTATAAATCGGATATAGAAGGAGGGGTGAAAGGAGAACCTTGAATAATTAAATAACATTGTAGCTTTTTGAATTGATTATGTGAAGTGCATAAAAACTCACAAGTTGAAAATCAACTGAAAGATACCACGAAGCTTGCAAACACTTAAAATAGAAAAGGAATAAATTTAAATTGAGTTAAAGTTTAATGTTATTACAGCTCCGAGTGGATCGTAGTAGTTCTGAATATGCAGTAAGGCTGCCCACCAGTTTTTCTCGCAACTTTTCACAAAAGCGATGTTTATGAAGTAGTCAAAGTACGGACCATTACCGAGAAACTTTAAGATTGAAAGTATGATTAAAATCAATAAAGCTAGAACGGGAGTCGTTCTTAAATATCGATGCAAATACATTTTTGGAATATTGAAACATTTTCTGCAAAACAAAATTCAGATTAAAGATGAAAGGAATATTTTTAATTCATAAAATTACTTTTCCATGCTGTTTAAAATTGATTGAGAAATCAACAAACCACCAATAACAAAAAATGTGTCGACGGCTATTGCATGATCGACGTTAGCAATAGCAGAAAATATTGACCGTTGCCACTTTCCGTCGACATCAAACACATTGCTATTGACATTTGGGAAACCTCTCTGCCATCCCGAACGATGAACCAACATAATGTGAATCATAGCAAATGTCCGGAGGCCTGAAAGGCACCGCAACATACTCGTTGATTTTTTAACATCGTAATTAAATAATTTCGTGCCATTTTTATAAACAGAAAATGCTGAATAAAGCTCATTGGGTTTGTCTACAAGAAAATATTTGTTGAACCAAAACATTGAAAAATCAAAATCAATGAAATCAATAAAAATGGAAATAACAACATACGATTGCGACGTATCATTGAAAGCTCGTAAATCGTACTCGATAACAGCAGCAGAGCGAGAAGTGATAAAATTACACTATTAAGAGAGACAAATGCTTGAACAATAGGAATTAAATTTAGTAGCAATTTAGAAACTTACATACAAACGATGTCGATGGTTTTAAAAGCTTCACGTTCACCAATCGTGCACCATTCACTTTGATCATAATCCTTTGCAAGTCGTAAGTCAGCGGATTTTATGAAATCATTTATGAATGATTGAATTCTCGTTGCAGAACATGACGATGGTAAACAAACGCCACCACCTAGACGCAGATGTTTTTGTCTCAAAATACTTCCACTGTGAGAAGGATGAGATGACGATGACGATGAGAAAGAATTTTAATTAAATTTGGAGCAACATCACATTCCATTATCACTTACATGTCATACCAATCAAAGGCTTCAATATTTTCCGTCGCTTCATAATATATTAGACAATGTTGAGTGTTTATAGTGCCAACCCTTGAATCGTTAGATTCATGATGAAAATCCAAACATTGTTCATAATTTCCGAAATCAACACGATTTCCGAACAACGCCCCAGATTGAAATTTCGTCCACGAATCAAACACTTAGTTTAAAAATTATAAAAGAAGTTCTAATTGAAGAATTATTGTAAGGTAAAAATTTCTCATTTACTTTCGATTGCCCACATTTCATGTTGCATTAACGATTCTTGAAAGTATTCCAAGTGAATTTCACATTTATCGTCATCGCTCGTCTTTGAATCTGAATCACAATTAATGCACAAAACTAATTTAACAATTAAAATTAACTGAACTGCTAATGAAGCTTTCATTGCTCTTTAAAGTCGAGACAAGCACTGAATGAGTAGATTTTCATGTTCTAATTGTTATCAAACTTTTGAAAATGTGATAATTTTCAATTATCAAACAACTAACCGAGCAAATCTTTTCCTAGATTAACATTTACCTTTTATTTTATCTCTCAAGTGGTTTCATTTGTTTTGGATTTAAGTCTTGTGGTGGTTGTCAAAAGCAAAATTTCAATGCAAACAAACTTTTCTCCCTTCTTTAATTATAAGAAAACACTCGGTTTTGAAATATTGGAACTAACTTTATGAAGTTATTGAAAAATGTAGAAAGGTCAAACCGAGCTTTTGTTTTTTAAACTTTACAGGAATCTAATTCTAGTCGTATTTCGTTTACATCGCCTGATAAATTTCAACCCTCAGCATCCCTAAAAGCGTAATAAATTCTGTGTGTCGGTAATCAGCTGGGAGTCTTGAGAGCATAATGATTGAGGGTTAAAGGTTGAATGTTAAAGGAGTAACAGGAAAAAAGCTTAAAGTGCGTATAACGAGAAAAACAAATGTTGTTGAATTTTAAACCATCGTAAATACCGCAACAACAATTTTGGATGGTCTTTTCTTAATTCAAAAGGGTTGTGCTTAATATTAATTAACTTTATTTTGTACTTCATGCTTTTGTACTTTTTTTCCTTCTTTTAAATGCGAAGAGGAGAAAGTTAAACAACTTTAATGCTTCCATTGTGCGATATAACGCAGCCAATTAGCGTGAATAATCAGGAATTTCATTGTAAAATGAAACGAGAAAGAATTCCGTTGCATGAAAATTTGCTTCACTTGAAGCTTGAATTTTAAATTAGAATTTAAAACTTTCATCGAATGAATTTCTGTCATTAAACTGCACATCAAGCACAAGCAGTTTCTAAGTGAAAAGTAAAACTAAACTAACAATCATTTCTGAGAGCTTTTGTTTTGAAAGAGATTTCCAGGGGAAATTTAAAACTTTGAAACGAGACAAATGTCTGTAAGCTTTTCATGCATCTTGAGATTGATGACATGGCATTACTTTCAATTTAAGCTCTCTTAACAATTTCTTGTTTTGCTTCCTTTCCCCTCATTGAAACTTCAACCATGAATAAAAGGAAGTTAATAGACTGTGAAATAAATTTACAAATCTGCATTGTCTTAATTTAAAGCAACATCAAATAAGAATGCAATATGATGTCAACTTTTTGTTTTTATTTATTGATAAACTTTTACTTATCGAAACGTTTATTATTCCAAGGCATTTAATTTTTTTTGCATTATATATTTTGATATGTTGAAAAACTGAAAGCACAAATTTTTGACCTTTCAAACATTAAATCATATTTAAATTCCCATTTTTATCTCTCTATTGAAAGTGGAAAGATAACTTTAATTCCACAAATTATTGATTCTACTATAAAACCTGCAAAATAGAATCACAATTTTGAATGCGAATGATGAATTGAATTCTCCCATTAAACTATGAAATGGATATTGCAGGATGAAGTTTAAGCGAAACTCAGCGAAGCATAACATGAATAATGCAATCGCTATCGATTTCGAAATAATTGTAGAATTCAACGAAGCGTCAAACGTGCGTAGTGAAGAATTTACGAGAAAGAAAACTCATCACATAAAACTGGCTTTACTGCACTATAAACATGATCCTTGATGTCCAGCTTTGGCTATGATAAATAAATAAAATAATTTCAGGTTTGGCTTTTTTTCATCTTGAAGAGTCAGAAATCTGTTCAGTTACGAAATCTGTCTGGAAATTTGTATGAATGGTTTCCAATGTTTGTGGTTTCAAAATCTCCTTGGAGACATCTGAGACGTCTCAAGAACACGAATGTTTAATCTTATAAAGCTAATTCCACAAGTATACTGCTGGAAATGCCATTAACATCAAATTTCAACGAACTTTGTTCTTCTTAATTTATGTGACAGACAGTTAAATCGTTAATTGAAGTTAATAAAATATATTCAGAATCAACATGACGGAGTTTTTAATGAACAAATTAAAATCTGCATTAAATTTGTCACCTTTGTGTTCAGTGAATAATAAAGCGAGTATCATCAGATGTTTCAATTACTTCACAACAGATGAAAACATGAAGAATAATATGAAAACAACGCAATAGGGAGTAAATAACTATGAAATATTTAATAATCTATGCAAATATTATGCAACATGTAATCAAATCATGGAATAAGAAATAAAACTTTAAAATATCTCTAATGGCGGCATGATAAATACAAATGCATAGTAGATTATCAAAATGTCATGACAATTTCATAAAAAATAATTATTTACTGTGTCGAATATATTCACACGAGACATTTCCAATAAATATCTGTGATTACTTATGAAACATTATCATCGAATAAGTAGATGTTCGGAAGTATCTAAGTGATTTAGTGTTTATATGCATTTTATTTGCTTCATAAAGCTCATCTTATTTCATGAAACAACCCTTGACTATTTCTTACCTACTCGCTTATATCTATTTTCGTCTTAAGCCATGGTTTTGGAAATAATATCATAAATTTTCTATGTTTATGTTTTACGGAACATAAATAAAGAATTATGAACCTTAAGGGTCTCATTTTGTGCATACCTCTGGGCCAAATCGTAATAAAATTTATGCTATGTAACAACATGGAACTGTTACATACATATCAGTCTGCTTGTTTTCACATAACATTATTTTTCTTCTACATATCTGTTATGGTATCTGCGCTCAACTCTCATCATTCATTCTCAATCAGTACGACAAAAAAGAATGCTGCAGAATATCTCCAATTAAGGAACATGCCAATATCATGATGCATGTAACATCAATTACATTCTATAACTTTTTAATTCAATTACATTATTAAGTAATAAATACCGACGACAATAAGTACAATATTGATGAACTTGCTAATCAACACGACATACAACGCCATCTATTGACAGGAAAACGAAACAAATATTTGAAACTTTTCCTGATTTTTTTATTCAGTTTTCTTTTTGTCTACATCTTTGAAAGCTACATTGAATTCTTAATTTCTAACTCATCAATTGAAGTTAAATGCAATATTTGAAATATCAAGCAAAAGCTTGAAGGTGCTCAACTAAGTTTCATATTTGGTTCCCTAAAGTGGTCAATAACATTGAAACATCTAAATATGACACAATCAAATCAAGGAATGGAAATTTCTCTATTTATAATTAAAATTGTTAAAATCACTTCTATGTTGCGTTTGGAATAGTCTTTCAAGTATTAAAATAGCTAAGTAGGAAGCAGCTAAATAGTTATTAGCTATTGCACAAATCTTGGTCAGTGTAAAATATGAAATTGAACTCGTAGATATTTTTACCCGCAATTATAATTAAAAACTGGAATAGTTAGATATTCATCATAAGAAGAAGCTCAGCTCAAAGATAAATAAAAAGCTGGAGCTTAACATTTAGCTAGAATTATTAAGAATGGCAGTAAATTTAAGAAAATTCGGCTATAAAAATTTCGGCACCGTTTTGAGGCTCCTGGGAAGAAGAAGAAAAAGACATAAAATTAAATTGAAAGATTTTCTTATCATTCTTACCGTAGCAAAACAAATCTGGTCGAATTCAAGATGCTTCGCCTGTGGCATCAAATCATAATAACATTCATTGAGTGTTGCAATGTATCGATCACAAGTTGTAATCGAATCAGTTAATGCCACAATACATCCACCCCAACCAGCTCCAGTGAGTCTTGCACCGACACCAAATTCTTTCGAAATTTTAATTAATTCCTCCAAATTCTCATGACTGCACTCATAAAGATTTCTTAAACTCTTATGAGATCTTTTCATCAATTCCGACATCTGATCAATCGCATCTTCTTCGTCATCATCATCAGCATTATCTGTGACGTGCCGGAAATGTTCAACACGAATCGCTTCTGCGAATTTTAAAATTAAATAATAATAAATTATCACATTAGATAAGACATTTTTTCGCTATACTGCTTAAGTAGGTCTTTAGATAAGAAAGAATAAAAACAGACCTTGAATGACGTGCAAGGCTCGTTGCTTCAACTTGAACTCCTTTTCGTCTTTCGTATTTGGTGTCAACATTTTCTCTTCGAACTCTTTCTCATGAATATGAAAAATCGACATCAACTCATCTTTTGTGTAAACATCTTTGGTCAAATGTTTCTTAATAAGCGCTTCAAACTCTTCAAGTTCAACATCAAGAACTTCTGATTGAAGTTGTCCAAGTTTTTCAATATCTTGCCATGGTCGATCAGTGAACTTTGCAAGCAATTTTGTAGCAATTCTGCATTCAACAACACGTTTGTTGAAATCAGAAGTTGCAGCTTTATTAGCTTCTGCTAAGGAATTTGCAATGACGAAAACCGCATCGGGTGGTAACTGAATTGGCGTAGCACGAACAGGATTAAACTCGATATATTGTGCACATCCTTTCTTCGCAAGGAATGCAATGGCTTGGTCCATTCCACCACCTTGAGTTCCAATGTAATGTTCACTCGATGCAGAAAGTGTCGCCAAAAGTGTTTTATTCAACGGCAAATCGTAAAGAAAAGCTGTGGTAAGTGCAGCAGAGCACACAAGAGCTGAAGAACTTGATAATCCTGCAGCTGGTGGAATGTTGCCACTAACAGCAACTAAAAATCCTTTTCTCGGATAATCACCCATTTTATGAATGTAATCGAGAATTCCTTTGACACCACAAAGGAAATAGTTGTGCCAACCAGGATACGTTCCAGGCTTTGGCAATTCGATCTTGATATGATCAATGCTGCACTTGAAGCTCTTGTATTTTGACTGCATATTCTTCAAATGAATAATGTCGTCATTATTTGGTGATGTGGCGACAGCCAGCAGAATATTCTGAGAAAGTGCCTGAGAAAAGCAGACATAAATTACAATGAGATTGCGCAAAACCAAATGATGAATTAAATTAATTACCATTGGACAAACAGGAAAGCCAGAATAATCGACATGTTCACCAATTAAATTGACACGTCCAGGAACCTTCACAAAAAATTCAGCTTTCGTGGAAAATTCCTTGAAAAAAAAGTCTAAAAAGACATCACGATTGCAGTAAACTAATCGATAATAGAAGAGTTGAATGAAACTGACCTCTTAGCTGAACCAAACGCTCGTCTGCCGCATCGATGTGTTTATTTACGTTAACGAAAAGATCATCGGACTCCATTGTTATCAATTTAGCTTAATTTCTTTCTGTTATCAAAATTCTTTTCCGCTCAAGTTTTCACTTCCTCGCGACGCAAAAGCAAACGACCAACTGAGTAAATGTTTTATGTTCTCATTAATTGTGACAAGCTTTATCGATGATTGTAAAAAAATGAAATAATTATCAACGATTTTACTAATTAACTTAAGTTTTTCACTTGTTTCTCCGTGTGTAAGTAGACTCAAGATTAAAACCAAACGTTTTTTGTTTACACTTTTTTTTCCAACTGAAAAGAATTTTTCATGAATGACGTAACGTTATTTGCTTCATAAATCACTGTGAACATGTGCAAATAAACGAGTGTCAGAATTTATAACTGTTCCTTATTCGAAAAATGTTCGAAAAACTTTTTAACAATTTTAAATCGCCTTAATTTTACTTATTCTTAATTTTTCCTTTTTGGTTTCCCTAACATTAGCACTTAATCTAACATTTAAGTCAGCAATAACGTAGATACGTACGTAATGTTACGTTTTTAGAGGGTGTGAAAGTACGCTTATGGGATTTCGTTTACGAACAAACTCCACACCCTTCTTCATTCGAGTTTGTCGTTCCAATAAGAAAAGTTCATTTATACCGAGCTGAAAGGAAAAAGTTTATTTCGGTGGTTTCCAAAGTAGTTTTTAATTATTTAAAAACATTAAGGGTGTTAAGTGTAGAATAAATGCTCGGATAAAGGATAAATTGCATGAAAAGAACCAACGAAAAGTGATTTTTGAAGAAACATCAAGAAAACAACAAAAAGAAAGTTTCTTTTTTGTTAAAAATTATTCCGTGGCTGTTTATTTATTATTGCAATAGTTTTTTACTGTATTTATTAAGTTATAAAAAAATGTTTTTAATAATTTAATCATCAACGTGGATATTACTAAGTTAAAAGCAACATTCCGCATTAAAACCTTAACAAAAGAATCGCTGGTGATTCTTCAGGTAAATTTTCTATCGCTTAGGAAATTTTCATAAATGATGTCGTTGCGCAAAGTGTGTTAAATTGAAGATTACAAGATAATGAACAAAGAAAACAAGTGAATTTAAGACGTTATATTTTCATTCTCACGTGACATAATTTTGATTCTAATCCGCTAAATAATTAAATATTTTTTTAATCTCTGACATTTCTTCAAAAACTTAAAAGTTTTTAAAGGAAAAATCTTCACAGTTCAATTAATAATTCTGTTATCGATTTCGTCTGTTTAATGTTAGCTTTAAATGCCATGAAGAAACATTCAATCTCCCTTTCTTATAAGTTTAATAATATTAATATATATGCACTCACACACATGTTAGACCGACCGTGCAGAATCTTATATGAACCACAATTTGGTGAAACTCTCTTAACAATTCAATCATCCAACACAAAGAAAGACGATCAGAGTTTTGAGTGCGAAAGAAAAGAACGGGAAATTCATTGAAAGGAATTAGCGATTATCGCGGATCGGTAGACCGTGAGTTTGCAGTCAACATTTATCCATCAGTCTGTGAAAAGAATGTTAAATATTCATTATGAAATTATGTTAAAATCTAAGCCACGAACTAGCATCACATTTACATGATGGTGCCATTGTTCTTGTTGTTTTTGCGTCGTTTTTTTTCAAAATAGATTGGCCGGTGGGAGCGAGAAGATTCCTCATGCGTGGCGGAGTGGCAATAAACTCTAATTCGCCTCGCCTCTAAAATTTCACTTGTCCAATTTTCAAAAAAAAAAAACAGAGACAAAACAACCTTCCCACCAATTAATTAATTAAGTTTTCGAACGTCGATGTCGTCAATTAGTCAATGTGAGATTTTTGTAATAAAATCAGAAATTTATCTCAAAATTCTCGAGCATTATTTTAGAGAACATTGACACAGATGTTTGAACTTATATTTTTTTGATTTATATTTATTGGATCTGTAAATTAGTTCCAATAAATATATAAACAAATGACCGTAGTATTCTTGCAAAAACATTGATCTTTGTGGGTGCTTAACGATCAAGTTGTGCATGATGAAAAATTCGTAATCGTGATCTAAAAATTTATTACTCCGCCTTTATATTTTGTTACACTTCTTACAAGAAATCAACAAACAAATACACACACAAAGATTACGATAGCAACAAAAATATTTATTTTTCATTCATTTTCAATATCGTGATTCTCGTAGCAATACTGTTTGTTGAATAGTTTTCAATTCCCTCTGCTTTTCTCTTACTTGCTTTTCCTTCGTATTTAAATGCTCCAAGGAGTGTTTACATTCCTTGTCGAGAACCTTTCTTAACGATTGATTGATAACAAAATAGAAATACTAAGGGAACGTCTCAAGGTTCTAGGGCTTTCACTTCTCTTGTGTTTTGTCCCGAATTTATCCAGCAGAAAATAATCAAAAACCGAATAACATACTCATGCATGATCCAACGACGTAATTTGATATTTGCTCGCGATGTCATGTGCGTTTGTGTTAACTTTTGATGTATTTTTGGATCTTTTATATCGTTAATGTAGGTCAAATATATTTTGTTCTGATTTGAACTCACGCTTTTCCTATTGAATGAAATGTAAGACAAAATTACTAATGGAAGAATAAAATTTTCTTTTTGTTTGTTCTTCATTCAATTATTAAGCACAACTTTAAAGTTGCTGTAAATTTAATTGCAAATGAACCTTCAAAAGACAACGAATTGTCATAAAAGTTTTTAATCGACACTTTCGAATACTTAGAAAACCTTCACTTGGTTTTGAAAAGCATAAAAACTTCACAATTTTTCTTCTTTCAACTATAGAAGTCTGTCGGAAGTCTTAAAAATTGATGATTGTAAATTCTCCAAATAAAATATTAAATGTAGAGAAGCATCAGACGAGTTTAGGTTCTTCTGGATTACCGAACCTAACATAAATTCTCTGGCGAATATTTATTCTCGGCTTCGTGATGTTTACGAGCACAAGTGGCTTGAAGTAACTTTCCTAACTAAAAAAAAAAGATCGGATGCTTATGTATCTATAACATGAAAAATAACATGGTTTGGTTCCATGTTTTTCCTCGATATCATCTTCTACCCACACTCTAAATAAATGTCATAAAATTGCATAATTTATGTGAGGTGAACTGCTCCCAATTCCAATTTTTATATTTTTTTCTTCTTCGTCTCTTTCTAACTGAAAACGAATTCTTAGAGAATTTGAAAAGTTTCTCTAGAGACTTCAATTATCATTTAAATTATTTATTGATTCAGATGTTGAAATATGAATAACAAAACAAAAAGTTTTATGCCAGCACACCTATCGATAGAAAAAGAGAAGGAAAATGGAAACATCCGAACGGATGTGTCGTATTTTATAATGTTAAACATTGAACATCAATTTCCTAAATGAGAAATCTACATGATGAGTTCAGTAAAATCATTAAATGATCTTCTCACACGTACATTGAATGTTTAATCGCTCTTGTGGGATTTTAGAGCACGAACTAAATATTCACAAGAGACGTTTCCGGTTACTTATTCGAATGACTTTATGTGAACGACCTTGACAAAAGAACTAATGATTTCACACTATTTGGATTAAGGAATATAAAAGTTTACCACCCACGCTTGCTTATTCATAGTAAACTAGCCAACGATAATCACTTTTAGGCCATTTGACTTTTTATAGCTTTTAATTTTACAATGCCATTTGTTGGGAAAAGAAACATTGAAGAGAAATGAAGAGACTGACTATCTACTCACGTTAACTTATTCATAGTGAACAGTGCGGCTCTGGTCAATAAGAAATTTGCCTCCATCGCCAACCTACATTCTTGCCTCGATCCATAATTGTTCTGCTGCTTTGTTTGTTGAATGTTTTTCTCTGGTTTCTTATTTCATAAAACTTTTTTTCCCATTCTTTTTCTTCTTCAGTTTTCGATGGTTTTCCTCGCTTATTTTTATTTGGATTGTTATGGAATAGAAAATTGAAGATGAATAAAATAACTTTTTAAGTCGTTCTTGTTGGTGTTATAAAGTTTTATCCATGTCGATTATAAATAATGAAAATCTACGAGCTCTTCGATCATTACCGTTGAAAATAAGAAAGAAAAGCCCTGAAAATAACTTTTCCTTATTTGAAAAATGTCAATTAATTTATTTATTACACTGATAAGGAAAGCTTGAAATATTTCGAAATGCATTTGCGATTTAGTGCACGAAAACAACAACTTAGTAAGTTTCTTTTTACATCACTCATGCATGATGAAATATTTCAACGCATTAAGCATCGCTTTAAAGTGTAACTTGACGTTTATCTTCTTTAATCAGAAAATGTCGGTGCATTTGATTAAAAATCGCGAACAAGTAGTTTCCACTAACTGTACATTTCACGGCGCACTCGGGGCACAGTTAGAAGTTGAAGAAGTAAAGAAAGAAAGAAAGAAACACAATAAACGAAAACACCGAGAAACTGTTGCTTCATATCGAGGTGTGTGTGTTTGTAGTTAAAAGAAAAACGAGTTGAAAACCATATGAGTCAAATATGAATAAGCAAACTTGTGTTTGTGAACGAAAAAATTAATATGCGATATTTAAGCGTTTCAAAAATATTTTGAATTTTATATTTTTCAATCTTTTGATTGTTGCACAAGCATGTATCTCACTCTTCTCTCGACGCATTGTCCAACTTTCCGGAAGCATTGGATTGTTAAGTAGAAAGTTGAAGAGTCTCAGAAGATCAATTTAAAATCGAATTTTCTGATATTTACCTTTTGGTAATCTTCACCGTGGGTAGACAAAAAAAGGTTAAAAGAATAATTTAACACATCAGTGAAGCATCTTCTTGTTCTTCTTGAACGTAAGACGAGATAGATGACTTCACGAGTTCGATTGAGTCATTCAAACTACTTCATTCGCAGTTGTTTCAACTCGAAATTTGCCTGAAAAGACTGAAAGCAGAAAAAAAAAACTTGTTTTATCGATGATTCATGGAACTGGGATATGTACGGTAAAGGCAAACCCAAACTATTATTTCTTTGCTTATTTACCTCTTTTTTACCTTTCACTTTACGACACCAATGCCATGTCGTGCCGCGTAAATCGCAAATTACGATTTCATTTTCAAGAGCAGATTTTCGGGGACAAAAATAGGCGAACGTCTCATCAATCAATTCCAGAACATTTTTAATAGTCTAAAATTTTCACTTTAATTACCATCATCAGAAACATCATCGCTGTTAACTATTTTCGTTCTCAATTCATCTCCTTTCCAATTTAGGTTCATTAAATTTAATCTGATAATTAATTCCACTTCATGCTTAAAGCTAATTTTTTTATTATTTTTCGCTCTCGTTCATGTTGTGAAGGCGTGAATATATGTCACCGATGCTTCTTTTTCTCTCACTATCTTGCGATGCGTGACGAGATGATAAAAATAATTCGCTGTGTGGTGATTTATGTTTGTTAGTTTGAAACACGAGACTCGTCATCGTTAGATGAATCCATCATTATGATCGAATAATATTTACGATTGCGGAATCTTGAAATGCTTTAAGTAATTGATGATGCATAAATCCATTCAATTGAAAAGAAAACTTTACGTTGAGACAATAAAAAAACTTTTCATGTTTGAGATTGAAGAAGTGAAGAAGTGTGTAAATCAATATGAAATAAAATGTAAAACTTTTCATCATTTATTGTTGATGAAAATAATCAAAAGTTTCACAACATAATTTCCTTTCATTTCTCTCGCCTCGCGGCTGATTAATTAAAATTGATTCATATTCAACAATGTTTTTAATTACACAACAGTCGCAGCCTTATGTTGTTTGTGCTTAAACCGCGAAAATAGCCGCAATTGTTGGACTTTTTTTTTCATTCGCTTTCGATTGCGCAAAAGCTTCTCTTTTTCATTTTTTTTTAACTTTTATATTGAACTGGAAATTAAACTGTGAAGCATTATCCAAGGACTTTTAAGAGATTTTAATTTCAATTTTTGTTGTTTAGCCGCAACATTATTTGATCAGTTGGTGTTGTAATTGAATATCATAAATTGACCGCGACCTTTCACACTTCTCTTCGTTGTCATCGTCGTCATCATTGTATGAAGCTCCCAAGAAATTATTTTCCCATTCAAAGTTGATTCAAAGTTTGCGTATGCTTGAGAATGAATACAATGAAAGATGCTATGCGATGGGAAGAAAATAAAATCATTTTCTTTTATTTCAATTTAGATGTTAATATGAAGTTTCTTATCTTTTGATGAGATTCAGTTTCATGCCCTTCCGCATTTCTTATACAAATCTCTTCTTATGATCTTCTCATTATGCTGATTATGAGTGAGTGTTGCGAATGACAGATGTCGTTAAGAACAACTACAGTTGGCTCTTGCTTTTCTAGTGTCTCCTTTCCAACTAGAAACTTCGACGAATGAATGACATTGACAACAACAAATTCACTCTTTAAAATTACATAAAACCATAAAAAAAAGTTTTCATTCAATTTAACACTCGACAAATTTGCGTAAAGCTTCTTGTGCAATTTTCCACAACTTTAACACGATTTAAACTTTCTACAATTTTTTTTAATAAATTGTTTACATTTCGTTATATCACAGAATTCACAAAATTATCATTAAACGACTCATGATGAGCTAAAACGATCTCGAAAGGGAATAAGATTCTCAGAATTCTACAAACGAGTTGAATTTGATATTAATTCTCATCCCTAACGAAGAATATTTCCATTAATAGTCATCAAACATAAATTATCGATTCCATCTTATGCATTCGTAAAGAAAAAGAAATTCTTAACATCAACATATCCACACCGAAACAAAAACAACAATTAAGAGCTTAAAACAGGAAGGAAATGACTTTAAGCACATCGGAATCGGAGACAACGACAAATGTCATAAATAACAATACGATTGCGAAAGGCATGCAAGCTGAGAATCTTCCAACATCGGAATTAAGTTTGCTGGCCAAACTGGAAGCTGCAAATAAATTGATTGAGAGTGACTCGAAGAGTCTAAACTCTCTTCAGAGCTCAGCGCATAGTCGCAAAAGCTCCGATACTAGTCAGATTAGTTTAAATTCAGGATCATCGTCAGTCGGTGAAGAAGATATTTGGTCGATATGGGCGACAATTGTCACTGATTGGGAGACAGCATTAAAGCGAAAGAATCCATCAGTGAAGGAGCTTGTACGTAAAGGAATTCCCCATCACTTTCGTGCGATTGCTTGGCAACTTTTATGCAATGCAACCGACACTGATAAGAAACAATACGCTGAATATATTAAAGCGACATCAGCATGTGAACGCGTCATTCGACGTGATATCGCTCGAACATATCCAGAACATGATTTCTTTAAAGAGAAAGATGGAACCGGGCAAGAAGCACTTTTTAATGTGATGAAAGCTTATTCGCTTCATGACCGTGAAGTTGGCTATTGTCAAGGTTCGGGATTCATTGTTGGTCTTCTACTTATGCAAATGCCAGAGGAAGAAGCGTTTGCTGTTCTCGTTCAAATCATGCAACAACATCGCATGCGAGATATGTTTAAGCCTTCAATGTGAGTCTTCAATTATTGTTCGTGTGGACTCATTAAAAAATTATTTATTTGTTTATCTTTCAACAGGGCGGAACTTGGATTGTGCATGTATCAGCTTGAGAATCTCGTACAAGAACAATTGCCAGAACTTCATTTACATTTTCAATCGCAGGGTTTTCAGACATCAATGTATGCTTCAAGTTGGTTCCTTACACTTTACACAACAGCTCTCAATCTGAATCTAATTTGTTGTCGAATTATGGACGTCTTTTTAAGTGAAGGCATGGAAATGATTTTTAAAATTGCACTTGCACTCTTGACGATCGGTAAAGAAACTGTTTTATCGCTTGACATGGAAGCAATGTTGAAGGTGAGTTTGCTTATCATCGAATTTTACTTCTCTCATTCTCATTTTGTTGAATTATCAAAAAGATCCGATAACGATGATAACAAAACTTTTTTTATTTTCAGTATTTCCAGAAAGAACTGCCACAGAAAGTCGAAAGCGACGTTGAAGGTTTATTCAATCTCGCTTACTCCATTAAAATTAATCCGAAGAAGATGAAAAAGATGGAGAAAGATTATGCAGAGCTGAGAAAGAAGGAACAAGAAGAGATGGTAGAACTGAGGGTAAGTAAAAGAATCTTTTGTTTGTTCAATTATGTTATTTGATTGACAAATCTATTTGTTGCGTTCTTCTCTTATTTCTTTAATACAGCGTTTGCGCAATGAAAATCGTTTGCTGAAGAAGCGAAATGAGTTGCTGGAAGCTGAAAGCACTGAACTCGCTAATCGACTTGTTCGTGGCCAAGTTTCAAGGGCGGAGGAAGAAGAAACAAAGTAAGAAATTTGTTGGGAAAAAGAAAATCTGTCTAAATGTTGTTTATTGCTTTATAGCTTTGCAATACAATCAGAGCTGTTAGCGCTTCGTCGAGCGCATCTTGAAATTTCTCATCAGCTTGAAACAGCGAATGAAGAGGTTCGAGCATTGAGTCTGAGACTGCAAGAGAATGTAAGTTTCTTTACTTATTTATTTACTTCCATTATGATCCACGCAAATGTCAATAACACAAAATTTCAAATCAATAAACACAAAAGTGATGAGTTGAGAGTTTTCTTAGACAAGCCCTTGATGATTCGCTGTAGTTAATTGCTAAATATTTAACTTTGTGGTGGCTGATGTTCCTTGAAGTCTTCACATTTTTTCCATCTCTTCAAAATATCAAACAAATGCTGGTGGCTGGCGACACTTTCACTTCATTTAGTTTCCTTTGTGACAATAATCATCATTCACAAATAGTGATCGGAATTGACAAGTCAATTTATTAAAAAATTGACACTTTAACTTGTTAATTAACTGATTGATGAACATCGTTAAAAAGCTAATCTTAAAGTTTATAATCGATTTCTTTTTCAGTTAATTGACACGTAAAAATCAATTAATTGACTCTGTCAAGTCTTAACACTATTCACAAAAACCACTGAAAAAAAGAAAGAAATTTTTTGACTTTTAATTTAGCTCAAATGTCATCCCGTAAAAACTTCATTTCTATTCTATATTTGTATGTTCATAGCAGCAAGCACCTCAAGATACTTCAATTGAATCTGTAAGTGTATTTAGTTGTGGTGGAATTTAATACAATTAATAACTTAATTAATATTTAGATGAATTAAGTTTTTTCTTTTAATTTAACAACTGCATGCACTTTCATTTATCACTAAGTTGATTGCTTTATTATTATTTATTAGTTTCTGTTATTCTGTATTTAAAGAATTAACACGAGAATTATCATAAATTGTTCATTGATCTAACATTTCTGCTCACTCACAGAACAATTCACGTCAAAATTCCATTGATGAGCTGATTCATAAAGAAGAAGCTCTTAAGGAGCGTGATGAGATGGTGAGTTGTTTGCTCGAAGAACTTGTGAAAGTTCGTCAAGGCTCAGCAGAGAATGAAGACACCATCAGGAATTTGAGGACGAAGATTCAAGAAGTTGAAGAGGATAAGAAACGACTTCGTGAGACAACGACTGACAACTCAGTTGCGCATCTTCAAGATGAATTGATTGCTAGCAAATTGAGAGAGGCAGAAGCAAGTTTATCATTAAAAGAATTAAAGCAACGTGTGATGGAATTGAGTTCTCAATGGCAACGACAATTACAAGAACAGAAAAATGACGCACAACCGCAGCCAGAATCGACGCCTAAGAAACTTTTATCAGGACTTTGGGAGGCTTCAGGAAAATCTCACGAGCAACAAAAACTTGAAGAAGAGTTGATGACGACCAGAATTCGTGAGATTGAAACATTAACAGAGCTGAAAGAGCTTCGACTGAAAGTGATGGAACTTGAAACGCAAGTTCAAGTATCGACAAATCAATTGCGTCGACAAGATGAAGAACATAAAAAGGTGAGAGAGGAATTGGAAGAAGCTTTGAATCGTGAGAAAGATATGTCAAATAAGGCGAGGGAACAACAACATAGATATTCCGATCTTGAATCTCGCATGAAAGACGAGTTGATGAATGTCAAAATCAAATTCACTGAACAGAGTGCACGACTTGCCGAAATGCAACAAGAAGTTTCTCGATTAGAAACAAAGGTTTGTCATGAATGTTCACATTTCTGATCAATTGCTGATTGAATTTTTACTTTTAGAATTCTGAAATGCAAGCTGAAGGTGAATTGCGATCAAACTTGGAAGAATCTGACAGAGTTCGTGAATTACAAGACAAAGTTGCTGACTTGAAAGCAGAGGTAAGTTTTCATTCGATTCATTTAACTTCTTTTATTTAAAATAAACACTAACAGTCATTGTTTTCTACACTAAAAAAGATTTCATTGATTTAACATTTACACAAAATTGCTTTTTACAAACAGTGAAAGTTCTCTACAACAAGTTGTCATTTATGAATATCAAAATATGTTCTAAAGAGCTTTCACTGTAATTAAACACCCTCACACCCTCAAAAGCTCTTCTTGTATCATACACATACTCACGAAATTGTTGTCGTGATCTTCTTCTTTATTTAAAATAATTTCGTGTCAAAGACAAAAAAACTTTTATTAAGATGAAAAGAAAAGTCTGACCGCTATCTCTCGCTATGATTTTCATTAACAGTTTCCAACGCCTATAACGAGTCCTGACACAGAACAGCCCTGGAAGTGGATAAGCTAAATTAACACACACAAAGCACTACTCTCGAATTGCACAAAGTTGTTGTTCTAAATAATAATTAAGTCGTGAATGCACATCATAATATTTCTTTCCTGATTAAATTATTCATAATCTTCTTAATCGAGTCATGAAAGTAACCCACAATGGATAATCTTTAGGATTTTTAGACTACCTAGGATAAAAAAAAACTTAACATTAATGTGTTTGTTTTAAATCGAATTGAAATTGGAAGACAAAAAATCAAGAAACGATCAAGAAAAAAAATTTAGAAGATAAAAAAGAATTTTGTAGAAAAATTTAATAGAAAAACTTAGAGACTAATTTCACTTAACTAAAGGTTATTATATACTTTTTAATTAATTAGACGCTTTTCTTCCTGCATGCTACAAATGTAGTTAAAGTATTTCTTTTGTAAGAAAATCTTTGATGTGCTTTTATCTTGTTTTTAAAACGCAATTCTATTTTGTGATTCACAAATATTTATTTATTCTCCTACCTTTAGAATGTTTCAAATTTTCATTTATGCTTTTCTTAATGTTTAAGTATTTAATTTTAATTATAAATACACCTGGTTGTTGAATGATAAACTTTGTTAAAAGTTGAATGAAAATTATGACGAAAGTCAAGTATTGAATGTTACTTGACTTATTTGTAAACATTTTAAGTCAAGTGACGAAATAAAGTCAAGTCATAATCTCATTCTCAGCTTCATTAATCCTAAATCCATTCTCTTTAAAACTCCTTTTTAAACATTCCTATGCATGAAGAACTATTAATTACTCATTTCATGATATTCCTTAATATTTTACTAATTTTTTATCCGAATTTTTATCGTCCCATTTCCTCCCCATTCACACCACCTAAACAAAACATCATTGAAACTCTCTATTGGAATTCACCATCGACAGTTAGCAGCAGTTAGAAGTCGTGGCAGTAACTATAAACACAATGACATAAATTTCAATAATAAAGAATCATTAGATGATGATGATGACGTGAATAACATTGATCTAATTGAGAATGAAAATTGACAAATGAGATGTGAAGACGATGATGAAGAATGGAGAAAGTCGAAATGTTGAAAGAAAATGTTAATAAAGAGAGTTAATTAAATTCACAAGACAAATATCTTTGTTTTACTTTGATTATTTATTTAAATTTTTGATTAAAAATGTGTCCATAAGGGCGAAATTTTATTTTGTGATTTCAGAATAGTTTTTGGGTCAAATAATTTGTTGTCTTCAAGATATTTCGCTCGTGGTAGCTCAGGTTTGGCTTTCAGAAGTTCAATCAAGGCATGTGTTGAACGAAGATGTAAAATTGAGTGAAAGACAACTTCCAATGATTGTAATTCCGGTGGACAATTAATGGTGTAAAGTTCATCAAAAAGATTTTCATTAAATTTTTGTATACGAAGTGAAAGTGGTAAGAGACGACCAAAAGCGACAGTGTTAGGTTTCTTCATTCGTGATTTCTTATCACTTCGTGACATCTTCACGACATTATTTTGAATGGAATGATCGGGAAGATTCATCACTTTTGCCACTTCATGTGGAATGGCCAAAATTTCTTTCGGTTCAACATGAAGCGCTTTTGACGCGTCACTTTCCACTCCAATCGAGAAAAGTTGCTTCACGAATTCTTTATTAATATTCGACTCTTCATCCATTTGTTTCAACCAAACTGCAAAATGTTCAGCAGCAATGTCGATGAGTTCTTCAGTTTGTTCGAACAAAGATTTCTCATGAATTTCTCTGTTGTCTTTGAAAAGTTTTGTTTGCCAGACAATTCGTTCCTTCTTCGTCTTGTTTATGTATTCAGCAAACCAATTAACGTTTGGTTTAAATAATTTTCTTTCAGGTGCTCTCGGTTCAATGTTCACTTCAATTTCCTTGTGCTTTTCATGTTTCTCGATAATTTCAACAAAATTCTCTTCAGTCAAGCCATCGTCTAACTTTTTAGCTAGATTCGGATCCAATTCCATCAAAAGATCCTTGAAAGTCACTTTTTTCTGTTCTTCAAACGGTTCATCCTTTCCAAACGGAAGTGAAATAATTTTCGCTACTCGATGGTGTAAATCTGGTGGCATGCATTGTGACAAATCCAAAGGCTTTTTCTTTTTAACATTTTTTAAACTTTTGAAATTATTTCTTTTCTTGTTCATTTTCTTTAAATTAAGTGTGAAGGAATTTGAGAAATTTCACGTACAAAAATCAAAACAAACAATTTATGGTCGTCAAGGAGACGTGAAAACTAGCGCAGAATTTACTCGTTCTAACATGTCTACATAAGCATAAACCGTCGGGAAATATCCTTAATTGATTTTCATTGCCGTCAATTTTAATTGCTTTTAATAAATTAATTGCTTAGATAATTGAAATAAATTTACCTGTTCAAAAATTTTGATCCTTTTTTATGACCTTTTAATGGTGTTGGTAACGAAAGTCATTAAATATGCTTCAATAAATGAGTTCAACAGTTTATGTATACATAAAGAAGTGTCTAATGATATTTTGATGACAACTGGCAGAATTTATCATTTAATTTTTCTTTAGCCACACGATCTTCAGTTTTATCTGAAACGTCGAAGGATAAAGTTGACAGTAAAAATGTTTGCAGCAGTCAGTAGTTTCATCAAAAAAATTAGAGAGCCAAAGCCAAATGATCCATTTGCGGTTCTTCCAAAAAATTGCTGTGAAAATATTTTGCAGTTTCTAAGCGGTGCTGAATTGTTGGAGTGTTCAAAAGTTAACAAAAGATGGAATTCGGTAATTGGAAAATCTGAGAGTTTTGAAAAAAAAGTGAGACTTAAGGTTTCCGAAATTTTTGGTGGTGCTTTGGGAAGTTTCACTATTCATGATGTTAATTTTATAATAACAAATGGACGAAGGTACAAGCACATCAAACTCTTCATAACCAGGAAATTAACATCACATCATCTCCTTCTGCTGGCATCATTCAAATGGATTTCGGTGCGCTTTTATTATCACGCTTTTCGAACTGAAATCGAGATGACAAACTTCTTCGGAATCATTGAAGCGAATGTTGAGGAATTGGAGTTGAGAGACATCAGATGCATTTTCTCGAGGAAAGACAATATTTTGGCACCAAACATGATCTTCCCTAAGTTAAGGACTCTCCGACTTGCTGACTGTAACACTTACATTTATTCACAAATCTTCCAAAACGTCAAAACTATTCAAATGTTACACTTGGAAACGAAAATATTTTCAGCAGTCGACTACAAAGATTGGGAGTTTATCGAGCGAGTTAAAGCATTTCAAACAATTTTAAGAAATAATCAAAACCTTAAAGTTTTAGGATTTTATCTTCATCAAACAGATTTTGATAATTTATTTATCGATGACAAATTTCTTTGTGGCTTCAAATTTCAATTGGAAGCATTGAAATTCAAGAAATTCAGGAAACAACCAGAACCGAAATCGAACACAATTCAAATGGAAAATCTTCAGAAGTTCCTAAGTATGCACAACAAAACATTGAAATATCTTGAATTGAATGAATGGCTGGGTAATGATGTACTTGAAACCGTCATCAATACAATGGATAACTTGAAAACTCTGGCGATTTGTGAATTGGAGACTTATGGAACACACGATGATTCGATTGCAAACATGAATTTCTTTAAGAACGAGTCAATTGAGTCTGTGTCATTGCATGCTGGTTACTCAAAGTTCAACGAACTGCAGAGAATCCTTGTTGGTCAATTCCCGAATTTGAAAGCTTTGAGAATTGGAACAGTAAATCAGCCAATCTTGAAAGTTCTCGTCGAAAAAGCACATAAACTTGAACATCTTGAAACAGATTTCTTCACCGCTTTCTTCCCGCCAGACCGCAGCGCACTTAGGCACTTAAGGAGTATGAGAATTCATATTGATTATGCAAGGCACTTTAAAGATATTCTACGTGATTTCAGTTATTATTCAAACTTTGAAACAGTTTTCTTAAATGCTGCCAAAACCGTTGATATCTTTCACAAGGCTCATGGCATTTTTTAATTGCAATTAAATATGATAAAAATATTATTAAATTTGAATTTAAATGTTCTAAGACTGAAATAATTATTTAAATTCTTGAATATTTTCTTACTAATTGAGATAAAAATTGAAGCTGAATAAATTGAATAATTTAATTTACGAAAAACATAAATGAATTCAGCCAACATTTTCAGGATGAAAGGATGAATTATTTATTTATGTTGATATTTATGTTGTACCAAACCAAACCAAAAAAAAATATAAAATAAAATCTTCTTAAAAAATTATTTACGACGGCCTATTCAATTCTAAGATGGTTAAGAGTTTAATGTTTTCTCATTTGGATTATTAAATATATTACTTAATAAATTATTTATTTGATTAAATAAATTGCATTTAAATAGTAATCTGAATATGCGGCATTGAACTTTGAAGCTTATTATTATAACATCTGATTTAAAGTCTCACAAGTTTAAAGTCACGACAATTATCCTTTAAAACTCGAACTTAAGTTTTAAAGCTTTCAGTTTTATTTCAAAATTTTACCAATTAACTTGTAACGATAAGTTGAAATGTGCAAAATATTTTTTTAAGACGGCCGCATTCAATTTTAAAAGGGGCCAAGTATCGAAATTATTCAAAAATTTAAGAAAAAATTTTTTTGGTTTCATAAAAATGCTTAAGAAGGATAAAACGTTGAGAAAAGTGAAAAAGTAAAAAAAAATTCTTCGCTTTTCGACTCTGTTTGTCTGTCTGTAACTTTTCAAAATCCCTATAAATTCCACATTTGTTTAGATTAGTTTTCTATCGGGGGACAAATACTTTAAGAAATGGGTCTGTACCTTCAAGTTTTCAAGAAGCTGCAACACAAATTGACCCAAATAGCATTTTTATATAGTTTATATATCTACATACTTCTAAAAGTTGTGCAAATACCAAGTACTTTTATTTGCAGATCGACATCCATAATTGCATGTGTGAATAACTGAATATGAAACATGAAAAATTCATTTAAAGATAAGAAGTCACGAAATTTTTTCCTTAAAAACCAAAATTTGCAAGCAAAACTGTTCAGTTACATTCAATTACTGTGAGAATTCTACGAATTTATTTAAATTATAATGTACAGAATCACTCTGTTTTATTTCATTTATTTTATCGGGCATTCATTAGCTCAGCATCCTTTACCGGAAAGTGGAGATTGTAAAGATACTTGTAAATCGGACTTAATAGTAACACCACAAGAAGTAATCATAATAAAATTCTGCATATACTAAGCAATCGTATGAACATCAAGATTGCTTATCTGTGATTGAAATTATAAACACATTTTAATCAAAATGAAATTGATTTAGATGACAGGCATTTGGCACTTCACTAAAGGAACAAATATTTTTGGCAGTTCAAAATGTCTTCGTTTAAACATTACAAATGTTGATGACAGCACAAACAACCTTGAAAAGTCGGAAATAATGTTAAGGTAGACTTTTTTAAATTAAATAATTTTCAGATGAATTATTTGAAATGTTTCAGCACTGGAAGAACAGCTGTAACAACTGGAACGATGCACTACTTTGGTAATGCGACATGGGAATATCGATACACTGACTGCAAGTGAAATATTAAATTAATTTTTTTGAGAAAGTTCATCACATTTCATTATAGTGGACATTCGTATGCGTTTTGAAATGTTCTCAGTGTCACCTGATGCTTTTGCTATGGTTCTCTGCCTTGAATGTGGATTCTACACGAAAAATGGAGCAGGAAGTAAGATTTTCCTTGTATGATAAAGAACCTTCAATCAACGACAAATTTTATTATAGTTTATCTTGAAATATTCACGAGATTGCCATATCCAACATGTGAGAGACTTAGTGAGTTGTATTCAACGATGAGTTCATGTGGAGTTGCAGAGGATGAACTGACATTAATGGACCAATCAACATGTGATCAATCTTGCAATTAGAAGCTCTGAAGTTAATACTTCTTACGAGTTTTATGTTTACTTATTTGGATTATAAAATATGAAATATTTCTAAATAAACTATTTACTTAATTAAAATAACTTCTGAATTAAAATCCATAAAACAATTAAATTTATTATATTTTTAAAATGAATTACATTTAAATAGTACATATTCAGTGAATATCCGGTATT